GCCCACGAGCATCAAGAACTGTAATACAGGCAACCCGCATCATAAGGATTGGCAACCGTCCCAAGGGGTACCCTTGCAGCCTTGCCCCTTCGGCCCATCCTTGGCCACTTTCGCTGGCCGCGCCCCGCTCGCAAAGCCTCGAAATGGCCTTCCAGGGCCCTTGCATCCTTATCGTGCGTCCTTATTGTACGGGTTGACTGTAATACGTGGCAGCCCGCCGGGTGGGCCGCGGGTGGTTCGTTGGCGGGTCGCGGGCGGGTCGCGGGATGGATCGCGGGGGTGGGTCGCGGGATGGGTCGCGGGCAGGTCGCGGGGTAGGACAACGACAACAACAACCACAGCAACACCAATTATTATAAGATTGTTCGCTCTTACTTGCCCGTGTGTCATTCAAAACGAGTCCCCCACTCACTCGTTACCCGCCCTTTTTGTCTTCGATCACACCCCCTCTGTCGGGGAATTATTTCTCTTAGCGGGGGGCGGCGGGCTTAGACAGGCGGGCAAACCTGAACAGGCGGACAATCCTTCGTGGGCGTACATGTGCCCGTCATTGGAATTGGCGTGGGCCCTGGAAAATGAGGAGGGGGAGAACGAGGGAGAGCGGGAGGAAGGGAGGGGGATGGACGAAGGAAGAGGGAAAACGCCAGAAGAGAAGGAGCGAAGAGGGGCGCGGTTGATTAGAGGCAGAGAGAGAGAGAGAGAGAGAAACAAAAAATAAAGAGAGAGAGAGAGAGAGATAACAAAGAAACATATAAGAGAGGTATAGAGAGAGGGGAGAGAGAGAGAGAGAGAGAGAGAGAGAAAGAAAGAGGGAGGGAGGAGGCAGGAGAGAGGAGGGAAAATGGAGGAGGGAGAGGAGGGAGAGGGCATAGGGCAGAGAGGCATAATGATGAGGGAGGAGAGAAGGGAGAGAGAAGGGAGGAGAGGAGGGAGGAGGGAGGGAGAGGGAGGAGGAGCAGGAAGGTAAGAGCGTGAACGTTCGAGGAAGTCCTAGGCGAAAGCGCCGTTCCTGAAGGAAGTCTCGGGCGGGAGCCCATGACGGGCGGGCGATCCCCTGACGGGCGGGTCGGGCGGGTGGCACATTCAAGCGGGATGCCTGAGTATGGCGAGGGCGCGATTCCTAAGTAAATTGTGACGGCGTCCTTGGCGCAGCGTGTTTCCTGAGCGTCGAAAGCGCGATTTCTGAAGATATTGCATGGAAGCCACAGGCGAGAGCACAATTCTTGAATAAAACGTGAGGGGTTCTCTGGCGGGAGTGGGGGTCTTGATTAGATTGCGAGGAAGTCTTGATTCCATTGCGAGGAAGTCTCAAGCGGGAGCGCCGTTCCTGAGTAAATTGTGAGGAAGTCTCAGATGGGAGCGGGGGTCCTGACTAAATTGCGAGGAAGTCACAGGCGGGAGCACCGATCCTGAGTAAAGTGTTAGGAATTCTGAAGCGGGAGCGGGGGTCCTGAGTAAATTTGGAGGAAGTCTCAGGCGGGAGCCGTCGTTGTTGCAATCCGGGGGGCCAGGGGCGCAGTTTGAGCATGAAGATTTGCCCTGTCAAAAAACAGGGTGCGAGCGTCGAGGGGCACAATTTGATTTTGAGAAAAACAGCATGCACCGGTGAGGGGGGATTAACAATAGTTATTCTTCAGACGTGAGAGTCCAACCATATCAACAGCATCAATAAAAACAACAACCGCAACAACAACAGCAATCCTGTTAAGACTATTCGTGTACTTCGTGCAGCCCCTGAGGCAGAGGAAGAGAGAACGGATGGAAGGAATGGACAAGGGGGAGGGAGCAGGATGGAGCACGAGAGCGACTAGGAGGAGGGGGGTAGGAGCAGAAAACAAGTGGCAGAACCAGACGGGCAGATCGGGCGTGTAGACCCTACCAGGTAGGTCGGGAAGGAGGGCCCAGGCGGCCAGGTCGAGCAGGCGGGTTGCTGAAGCGTGCGTCCTGCATGAATCGCGAGAAAGTCTGGAGCGACAGCGCGATTCCGAAATCAATCGTGAGGAAATCCACAGCGAGAGCGTGACTCCTGCATTGAGAATTTAAGTATCATTTTTAAGTGGCTCGCCCACATAAACAGATTCGCCCAAATGTTCGACGTCCGCCCTCTTCGTCTTCGATCGTACACCGCTTGGGCGTATATCTTCCCTACCTACCGCGAGTAGTTGGCGAAGCCCCTTAAACAGGGAAAGGAAGGGAGGAGGAAAAAGACAAAGTGGGAGGGAGAAGGATGGAGCACGAAAGAGGTTTGCAGGAGGAGTGTCAGGAGCTGGAGTACGGGCGGCAGAACCAGACGGGCGGGTCGGGCGGGAAGACGCTCACGGGCAGGTCGGGCGGGCGGGCCCAGACGGCCAGGTCGAGCGGGCGGGTCACTGAAGCGTCAATCCATCATCAAGGAAGTCTTGAGCGACAGCGCGATTACCAAATAAATCAAGAGGGAATCCACAGCAAGAGCGCGATTCCTGAGTCTTGGGGGCACGGTGCCGCAATACATTACCAGGAGCTACCACGCGAGAGCGCAATTCCTGGATAAATTATGACGAAATCCCGCGCAGGAGCGCGAATTTAAAATACAGCGTGAGGAAGTATCAGGTGAGAGCCGTTGTTATTGTAACCCGGGGGCCAGGGGCACAGTTTGAGCTTCCTTGATAAATCACCGGGTGCGAGCCCAGGGAGGCGTACTTCATTTGAAACAGCACCGGGCGGGGGCTCTCAACAATATATTTTCTAGGGAATCGAGAATTCAACAACAAACTGTTTAATAGTGTGTGCTCCTATCTGCTTGCATGCCATTCGACACGTTTTCGTCGTTTTCGATCGTACCCCTTTTGTGGTATATATTCCTTACTTGCCACACGTCTTTGGCGCAGCCCCTCAAACAGTTGTGTGCGTACAGTCAACGCGCCTAGTAATGACGCGCGCCTTCGTCAAGGGTACCCTTGTGTCCTTGCCTCTGCGGCCCGTCCTTTGCCGTTTTCACTGGTCGCCCGTCGCCGCAAAAATCCGAACTTCGGCCTCCAAGGGTCTTTGCGTCCCTACCAACCGTCCGTGATACACGTCTTGATTGCAAGCTCTGCCTCGGCGAGCAGATTCTGGGCCCCAGGGCCGTCAAGGAGGGGCCGAGGCAAGAGCAGCTCTTCCGGGGAAGGGCTCGAGAGCTCCAGGGGGGCGCCGCCCCGAGACAAGCGAGTCGTCGGAGTCATGGGCCGCTTTCTCCCCTCAACCCGCGGCCCCATCCTCCATCTGCTGCTCCTTCTTTCTTGTTTCTTCAGCATCATCATCAGCATCCTCCTCATGCTGCTGCTGCTGCTCCTCCTCCTGCTCCTCCTCACCCTCCTCCTCCTCCTCCTCCTCCTCCTCCTCCCCTCCTCCTCCTCCTCCTCCTCCTCCTCCTCCTCCTCCTCCTCAGCATCATCGTCCTCCTGCTCCTCCTCCTCTTACTACTCCTACTTCTCCTCCTCCTCCTACTCTTCCTGCTCCTCCTCCTCCTCCTCCTCCTCCTCCTGTTCCTATTCCTACTCCTCCTTCCTCCTCATCCTCCCTCCTCCTCCTCCTCCTCCTCCTCTCCGCTCCTCACTCTCCTCCTCCTCCTCTCCTCCTCCCCCTCCTCCTGCTCCGGATCCTGCCCTCCTCCTACTCCTCCTCCTCCTCCTCTTCTCCTCCTTTGCCTCTCCTTCTCTCACTCCTCTTTCTCCTCTTCCCCTCGACCTCTCCTCCTCCTCTCTCTTCCTCCCTCCCTCCCCCTCCTCCCCCTCCTCTCTGCTGTTTTCTGTTGCTCCCCCCATCCCTCATCCTCTGCTACTCCTCCTCCCGCCCCGCCTCCTTTTCCTCCTCCTTCTCCTCCCTCCTCTTCCTCCTCCTTTTCCTCCCCTCCTCTCCTCCTTCTCCCCCTCCTCCTCCTCCTCCTCCTCTCCTGCTCCCTCCTCCTCTCCTCCGCTGTTTCGCTGTTTGCCGCGGCATGAGGGTCGCTCCCTGTGCCGCATCGGGGGCGCGGCCGATGCCCATGCCAAGCCGCGCGCGCGGCCGACACGCTGGCGCCCTCGGCGCAGGGGGGGGGGGGGGGGGCCGCCCAGGGGGAGGGGAAGGAGGCCTCCAGGATCGCGGGGCGGAGGAGGAGCGGGGGGGGCGAGGCCTAGGCGAGCCTAAGAGCCAGAGGCTCCAGAGGACCCCGCCAGGAGGAGAGGGGGAAAGCCGCCAGGGGCCTCGAGAGGAGAGAGGCGGGGTCCAAAATCCTGCCGAATTGCTCAGCGGCCCGCTGCGCTGCCGCCCAGGAAAGCAGCCTTGGCCAGCTGCATCACCTGTCCTGGGCGGCAGTGCACGGGCCCTAGAGCCAGGTGGACGGGGGCCCACCTGGTGTGCCCCCCCCTTACCCTCACGGAGCCAGATGGCCAGAGATAAGGAACCTAAACCAAACCTGGAAAACATAGGACAGGGGGGTAAAGGGGGAGGCACCATTCTTTAGATCCCTATGGACACGGCCCGGCGGCCCTCTCAGGTGCAGTCGAGCTGCGGGCTCGCCGAGCCTCAGCCCCCACTCAGACCTTGAGGTGCCCAGGGCCGTGTCGAGGCCGGTGTTCACCGGCCCAATCCATGCTTTGAACCTGTGGTTCTCGATCTTGCGGTACAGCCCGACTATGTAGTCCTCGCACTTGTGGTACTCGACGCAGTCGTGCTGGTCGAGATAGCTCTGGTTGACTCTGCAGTGCCCCTACCTTGTGGCCCTCGACTCAGTCACGCTAGTCATCATGTTATGGCTTGACTCTGTAGTGCACGAGCTGTGGTCCTCGACTCGGTCGTGCTGGTCATCGCGATACTGCTTATGACTGTGATGCCAAACCTGTGGTGCTCGGGCCAGTCGTGCTGGTTGAAGTAGTGGCTGACTAGCTGGCCCTCGAACCTGTGGTACTCGACACCGGCGTGCTGGTCAAAGTGGTAGTGCTTGGCTCGGTGCTGCTCGAACCTTCTCTATTCAACTCGGTAGTGCTGATCAGGTGGTACCGCTT